TGAACTACTTAGATAATTAGAACACCCAGAGAGAGCTTTTTTTTAAAGTTGGGAACAGTAGATTCATTTCTTGCCCCGCAGTGACACTTGGCTCCTTTTAAAAATCTTCTCTGAGTCAGTATTACCCACTGATGAAAACTGGGGAAGATGGTGTAACTTCAGTGACTCAGATTACTTAGTGTTAAATGTGCACTTCTCCATGATAGTAACTCCTTCCTATCAACTTTGAAGAAAGTTCTCACTGGTGCTCTACAAGCAAGAGTGCACCCAATGCTTTATGGCCAATTTTAGGCAATCTTGCAAAGGAATAAATGTTTTTCTTTCACAGTCTGATCCCTTCCTCCCAGAATCAAACTTTTCAGTGGCTGTCACCAACTAACAGACCTCTTTGTCCCTGTCCCCTCCATCAATATTCACCTTGTATCCTTCTTTACTTTGAGTATCCTCTTCTGTATACAAGTGATAACATAAATGCTATAACCATATGTGTGTGTGTGTGTGTGTGTGTGTGTGATGAATAATAAAAACCCAGAGACATATATTGGGGTCCAAGCTGAAGATCAGAGAAACAAAACAGCCGGCCACTAGAGAGTTGTTATCTCTACTAAGGCTGGGGAGATTCTATCCTCAATGTGGCTGGAGGTTAATTGCTGAGTGAGTCCTGAATGCCCTGCTCCTATCTTACATACCTCTCTAGTGCTGGGATTAAGGGTATGAGCTCTGTTTCTCTTTTATACTGATTTACTCTCATGTAGCCCTGGATGGCCTTGAACTCACAGAGATCCAACTGCCTCTGTCTCCTGAGTCCTGGGATTAAAGGTGTGTGCCACCACTGTCCAGTTTCTATGGCTGTGGATAGCTTTGCATTCTTCAGTGGCTTTATTAGATTGTAACAGTGTATCATTACATATATACATTTTATCTTGACAATTAAGGCCCTGAGCTTATGAAAGGAGACTAATAATGGCAATGTAAATATCACTGGGAAGAGGGAAAAGACATGGTAAAGAGGATAGGAATAGCAGTGAGGCCTTCCAGCTCACATTCATAGCATGTGCTAACCCTTGCTGATTTACAAACATAGTCTCCAGGTGAACAATCACCTGTCACCTGTTGGTTCCTAGATCATGGAGACCAAGAGAGAAGGCTCAAGACTTAAAGCTGAGAGCAAGTACTTTAAAAAGCCTGTTCTATAGAAACCATGCTTTTTTTAAAAAAAAAAAGTTATCTAAAGAAGATAAGCATTGCACACGCGCACACAAATGCACCTAGATGTATATACAAAAACAGGGAAAGCCAGAGAGTCCCTCCAGCCTGGGAATGTTCTGCTGTGAGTGACCAGGTCTGAAAGCTTCATGTGGGAATGCTGGTGAAAGTCACACATGTGCTTCTGATACCAACTCAACTCCACACAGAGGAAGCCAGAGGGACAAAGTGTGATCCTCAGAAGCTGCCCCAGAAAGACGGAGGCCTTCGTCACTCTGGGTGTGATAGCATTAGTCTGAGTACATGACAGACTGGTGACTTCTTCACCAGCAGTCATCGGAACTGACAACTCCCTGAGTATAGAGTCTTATCTTAACCCAAAGTCTCCCCATAGACACCCAACGTGAAGACTAGAAGGATTTCTGTATGTTGTATAGAAATGCTATGGTTTTATTTTTTTCCAAAAAGCATGTGGAGTTTACCAAAGGCCAAGAGAATATAAGACTCCAGGAATCCACAAGGATGACCCCACCTAAGACCCCTAGCAATAGTGGAGAGGGTACCAAAACTGGCCTACCCCTGTAACCAGATTGGTGTCTACCTAACTGTGGTCATAGAACCTTCATCCAGTAACTGACAGAAGAAGATGCAGAGATTCACATCCAAGCACCAGGCAGAGCTAAGAGAGTCCAGTTGAAGAGAGGGAGGAGGGATTATGTGATCAAGGGGGTGGGTCAAGATCATGATGGGAAAGCACACAGAGACAGTTGTCCCAAGCTGTGGGAGCTCACGGACTCTAGACTGACAGGGGAGCTGAACCAGGCCCTGTGCATGTGGGTGACAGTTTTGTAGCCTGGCCCGTTTGTGGGACCCCTGGTAGGGGGACCAGGATCAATCCCTAGTCCATGAGCTGGCTTTTTGAAGCCTTGATGTGTGTGAGGGGGTGGGGCTTGGTCCTGCCTCAACTGAATGTGCTAGGTTTTGTTGACTCCCCATGGGAGGCCTTACTGTTTCTGAGGAGTGGATGGGGGTGGGTTGCAGGGATGTTGGGGGAAGGGGGAGGAGGGGAGGGAGGGGGAACTATGGTATGTAAAATGGACACACACACACACACACACACATGCGCGTGTAAGTGTGCACTTGTGTCCACCATACGATAAATAAAGAACAGAGGGAACACAGCAGCCTCCTGAAGAATGGTGAATTGAAGAGCTAAATAACCTCTGACTGGACTGAGGGTGTAGAGGAGAAGGGCACACGGCTACATTTCTAACAAACATGTGTATATATCTTACCCCAAAAAGATTGGGAAGAGAATATTGCTCTGGAGACACCCTGAAATAGTCCACAGGAGAATCAATTAAAAAGGACCAGGGATACAGCAACATTATCTAAATTAACCTTAGCTAGTCCTCTGAGAATGAGAAAGCATGCTTGTGTCATATTATTATTTTCTTCTCAGAGAAAGAATGCGATTTTTACCCAGTCCAAGTACTGACTCCCTGGCTTTGCCTCAGCTCACCACAGCATTGGAATGTGCTAAAATGAGTAGGACAAGAGATCTACAAGGATGGCACCAACTAACAATCTAAGCAATAGTGGAGAGGCTACCTTAAACGCCCTTCCCCGATAATGAGTATGATGACTACCTTATATGCCATCCTAGAGCCTTCATCCAGTAGCTCATGGAAGCAGAGACAGACACCCACAGCTAAACACTTAATTGAACTCCCGGAATCCAGTTGTAGAGAGGGAGAAGTGATGAGCAAAGGGGTCCAGACCAGGCAGGAGAAACCCACAGAAACAGCTGACCTGAACAAGGGGGAACTCATGGACCCCAGACTAATGGCTGAGAGGCCAGCATGGGACTGATCCAGACCTCCTGAATGTGGGTGTCATGAGGAGGCCTCGGCAATCTATGGGGCCTCTGGTAGTAGATCAGTATTTATCCCTAGCATACGAATGAACTTGGGAGCCCATTCCACATAGAGGGATACTCTCTCAGCCTAGACACATAGGGAAGGGCCTAGGCTCTGCTCCAAATGATATGACAGACTTCGAAGATCCCCCATGGAAGGCTTCACTCTCCCTGGGGAGCACAAAGGGAGTTGGTGGGGGGCAGGGGTGGAGGGGAGGGAGAGGGAACTTGGATTGACATGTACAACAAGCTTGTTTCTAATTTAAATAAAAAATAGAAAAAATGAGCAGAACATAAATGACAGGAGTTAACAGCACACAGAAAAGCTGGTAGCTGTGTGGAACTTCTGCCTATAGAATAAAAACTAACCATGGGATATTTGTACAGGGCATGGCAACTTCATGTTATCTTGTCCAATAATTTCATTTTGTAGTGGGGGGGGAACAGAGAGAACAGTTCCAACAGTTCTTGGGTCCCACCCTACCTGTCACCCTTCTAGCCAAGGGCCTTGCAGGCTTCTTTTAATATGGGGAGCTGTCACTAAGTAGAGGAGTTTGTAGTTCTTTTCTAATCAAGTAAAGCCAAAGACAGGGTCACACACCTGAACAGCTGGAAGATTTAGAGAGATGAGGACTAGTTATGGCAGAGACACATGCATATAGCAGCCATGCTATAAACTTGTATGGGATTTCACACACTGGATCTGGCTTCTCTTTCGTCTGCTTCTCTCTGTCCACCCTTGACTCTCTCTTCCTGGCTATTGTTCTGACGGGTGGGCTGCTGTTCCTGGCAAGAGGCCTTGGAGGATGTGGCACTGGTGACCACCATGTTCACCTCTATATTTGAAGGTGAAAACTCAGTCTTGCCATTCAGATCAATACATGGTAACAACTATGGTGACCAGAAAGTCACCATGGTGCTGTGTCATGTGGCTGGAGAAGGCCTGAAACTGTCTCTCCTAAGTCCCAACAAAAGGAAGCAGCAGCTGGAGCCGCCTGAGAAAGAAGACAATCAGCACACAGGCTCTACCAGCAAACTGCTGTTAGCACCTGAAAATAATACAGTGACTCATAGGATGTATTTTGCAGAGAAATGAGAAATATTCAGAAGCAACATTCCTTTCATATCTAGGACATGACCTTAGCCAGTAACATTCCTCAATGCAGCTGTAGATTTGAGAGTCTGGCTTTAGTTCCTCAGACATATCCCTTCCAAACCAGAATCATGCAGAGTGTTTGCTCCAAAAGAAAGTATCTAAAAGTCAAATTTCTCGAGACACCATAAAATTGTGAGGACCAAAGCAGTGATTGGATTGATTAGCAGAGACTCAAAGTTGGGCGATAATGAGACACAGGCAAGGCTGAACAATGAAATGGTCTAATTGATTTTACGCATATGGAACGATACACATACGACCCAGTGCATGCTAGAATGAATCTGTATGCTGTGTGCAAACAGATTTCACAGTGGGTCAATTATACCACCCAGATGCTTCAGTACCTTATACTCTGTAATTTGAAAGTCAGTTTATTACTATGGTGTGAGGGCTTGGGATGCAGGCTAAAAGGTGGCATAGATCATGAAGTCTGTGGTCAGTTCATTTTCACTTTAGGGAAAGCAATACTGCATGTACATAATAGTCATGCCATAAATTTACTTAGCGCATGGAGCCTCTGAACTATATGACCATTGATTGGGCTAGAACTCCATGGCCTGCTTTCAATTAAATTTAAGTGGATTTGACTAGAAGTTTGAACTGACGCTAATTGGTTTTCAAAACATTGGGTAACAATAAGTGTTCCTGTGTTGCCCATAGAGAGATGCACCCAGTTCAACATATGCTCATGGTTGGCATGGGTAGCAATACATCCCTTACCTTGCTGGGCAGGGATCCAAATTGCAGGATTTCAGGAGCTGTGGGGGCCGCCGACTGGTCACGCACAGGTTCTCATCAGCAAGCTCCCGGGTCTGTTTGTTCAGGCAGCTCACCACAGCCTCCTGGACACCTGTGTACAAATCACACTGTCAGGCCAGAGTGCAAAGTGGGTGTGTGTTGGGGTGATGAAGTGTAGACAGGCAGCTGGTGGGAGGTCTCTGATGGGTGGGACTCTCACTGCACATTAGAGGCTACAGTTGGAAGCACAGCACTGCCAATCTTGTTAAGCATCACTTGATCTAGGGTTAGGGGTACAGTTCAGTGGTCGGGTGATTGCTTAGCATGAACAAGGACCTGGTTTTGAACTCAGGCATCACAGCTTTTCAAAAGTATTTAATCCCATCTGAAAGGAGGAACTCATGAGCCCGTGGCCTCTCTCAGTATACCTCTTGAGGATGATAACTTTCTGAAAACATAGTTGGCTGAAATGCTTTAACGATGCTATCAGGCAGGTCCAGTCACTCTAGAAATCAGTGTTGAGAATGCTAAAAGAGCCAAAAACAAATCTACCACATGATTCCAGCTATACCACTTCTTAGCACATGCCAAAGGGACTTGACATCCTATTTCACACATACTTGCTTGCTCAGCCATGTTTGTTGCTGCTTTATTTACAATATGTAGGAAATGGAAACAACCTAAATGTCCTTAACCAATGAATGAATAATGAAAATGTGGTATGTATACAGTAAGGAACACTATTCTGTTGTAAAGAAAATCATGAGTTTTGCAGGTAAATGGAGAGAGAGGATAATATTGACTGAGGTAACCTTGACCCAGAAAAGAACACAACATGTTCTCTCTCATCTGTAGTTCCTAATTCCAAACCTTCAGATGTGAGTACATAGCCTGGAGTAAGTGCAGGAACCAGAAAGGTAAAGGGGGATCAGGGTAGGGGGTGGGGAGAAATGGAAGGGGCAGCAAAGTACAAGTGATTAAGGAGGATACGGAAAAATGGAGGGGCTGTAATTAGGAAGGGGGAGATTAATACAGAAGAAGGAATAAATAAGGGATAAAATAATAAGGACATCTGAAAAGATTATAAGGAATCACTATTATCACCTAAAATTACACATAACACATATAAATATGTATATACATATACAGTTTAAATGAAAAATTCTCATCTTCACTGACAATACTTCCCTCAAGATCCATAGACTATCTACAAAAATACCAGGGATAAGAAACAGCATTTTGAATTGTTGGTCAGGGTTGTCCAAGAGAATCCCCAAGCATAGGCTATTGCTGCTGCACTTGGTTGCCTCTCAGAGGTTGAAGACAACATGTAGTTTGGACACATGACTGAGATGATCTGAGCTGGTTCTGATCTAAAACATGTAGCTTGGACACATGACTGAGATGATCTGAGCTGGTTCTGATCTAAAAGCCCCCCCCCCCACTAGTTTTCACGGTAACAGAAGGTACTCTGTTTTTTGCTTATTGATTGATTGGTGATTACCCTATTCCTCTGTTCTGCTCCTTCTACACTAAAGTATCATGTTTTACCACCAGTGACTATATAGCCTGATAGCATTTTTAGAGTATTTTTATATTAAAATATAATTATATCATTTACCCTTCCATTTTCTCCCTCCATTCTTTATGCACCCTGCCTTGCTCTGTCTCATATTCAAACACTCTATTTATTTAACACACACACACACACACAATACTATGTATGTGTGTTTGTGTGTATTCCTAAAAAGAGAACCTTAGGGATCCAAGACCAAACACATTATAGTTTAATGAAAGGGAGATTGCTGTGTTTGGACATGAGGTATGACATCACATTTTAGTATCCAATATTCTGTAGGTTTCTCTGTTCCTGGCTGGCTTTGTTTTGACTCTGTTTAATTTCTTCAGTGACACAGGGCAACTTTGGTAGTTGAACCAATACATAAGATGCATAGTGACTATAGCCATAGGAAACAATATCCCTGGAGACACCTGCACACCCTAGATGGTGCTAGTGTAGTGTTTTTACTGACAAAGGTTGCATGATAGATAACTATGATGCAATACAGAAACGCTTAAGCAGCGTCCATTGAGCAGACATTGCATTCTGTTGCACTGAGTCATATCAACTAACATCTACAGTATCCATTATAGCACAGGTACTGTAGCTCAGTACTTAGCATACATCACTCTGTTCTTTCTACAATTCTATGTGGCAAACAGAATTCCAACTCTAGTTTTACACAAGTGGAAAGTGAAGCTTAGGAGCATGAAAAGACTTGCCCGAGGTCATGTGCTTGCTGAATGGTGGAACTGAGTGTGTCTGAGGTTCTAAGAACTCACTGACAGCACTAGCATTTAAAAATACCAAGAGGCTGTCATATCTGCTTCCCTGGAGATCTTCAGAAATAACCCAGACATTTGTCTGGAATCATTACAGCAGCATTCAATTTAAGTGAAGTGGTGAGACAAGACATTCTTGCTAATTTGCTTTCAGCCATATACAGTTATATATGCAAAGACACCCACATCTAAAGATATTCATCTATGCTTAGAACTTTGTATGCAGTTATAGTTGATATATGGATACCCACCCGCTCCTCTGAATTGCCAAATGATACCTGACAGAGTAAAAATACTTACTGCTTGTTAGTTCTCTTCTAATCTATCCTTAGTTTCTCCACGTCTCTCAAGCAAGAAAATGCTCCCAATGTTAGATTGACCTAGGTCATCAAGCAATGGCATCATTTTAAGAAGCGGGACACTGTAAAACTAGAATCCAAATTGATTTCCTTCCTTCCTTTAATATATTGTGGTACTTGTCATGTGGCTGACATGGCAGTTTCCAGCATTTTATTTCTCTCTCCCTAATCTTTTATAGCTTCCAATTTTTTCTTAATTTGTGTTGACCATTTCAAGGTAGAATATGTAATATTTATGGGTATTCAGATAATTCTATCATATTCTGTCATGCCAACTGTGGTCAGACAGATGGTATGATGACATAACACCACAGATCACAAATATTGTTACTACCATCTGTGATTTCCCATGGGGATGGTATAGAATTCTTAAATCCATGATGACAAGCCACTACATGCAGCTTACTGTTATGGTTTTAATCTGAGATGTCCCCTGATAACTTATGAACTGGGAGTTTAGTTGCCAGCTGAAAGGAAAGGGATTGAATCCTGAGGCTGCTACCAATGCTGTTGAAATACTTTAAAAATGCACCACACCATAGAGCCGCAGATGCCAAAATGTGATAGTTTAATGCAGAAGGATCGCTGCATGACCCAGTAACCAAGGTCAAACACATTATCTGTAACCTTGCTGGATGTGATAGCTCACACCCATAGTCCCAGAACCCAGGAAGGTGAGGCAGGAGGACTGCTGCTAGTATGAGGTCAGATAGTGACAGAGTAGGATTACTATGAGTTCTGGGCCAGCATGGGCAACAGAGTGAGATAATGTCTCAAAAAGTAACAAACAAAAACCCAAATAGCACAACTTTCTGGCCTCATCAATGAGTACCCTTGATAGATTCACAGTACGATGGCCAGGTTTAGGAAGGAAAGTGGGTCACTGTGAGTTTGCCCTGGAAACATACATCAGTCAAATGATCTCCCTCCTCCACAATGATGATGGTCTGAATAAGTTTTTTCTTCCAAGTAGTCCTACAGCCATGATGTTCTACCTACCTAACTACAGGCATATGGCAGCAAAGGATGCTAATTATGGACTTGAATCCCTTAAACTGTGAGCCAAAGTAAACCTGAAAGTGATTCTCTCAGGCATATGTCACAGTGATGAAATCAGCAACTATGCTACTATCCTATACAAAATCTAGAGCTGTTTTCTAGAATTGGTTTTCTAGGTCACACTCCTAATGGTTTTCACAAGAAGCAAAACACCTTAGGAATAAATCTAACCTCTCTACAGCAAAGACCTTAAGACTCTGGAAAAAAGCTGAAAAGAAATCTGGAAGAGGCAAAGACCTCACATACCCAGGGATAAACAGAATATGTTGTAAAAATGGCTATATTAAGGTGGTCCACAGAGTCAATGCAATTCCCATGGCATTCTCCAAAGAAGTAAAAAAGCCAATCTGAGGAGTCATATGCAAGCACCAAAGGCCTTAGTCCTTAGTAGAAAGAGCAACACTAAAGATATTCCAATACCCAATCTCAAATTATAGACCAACTGTAGGAGGAAAACAATGGCGCCATTAGCCATGTGACTTACTAGAGGCGCATACAGATGAGGTAATAAAAGGACGGTTTACCACACCGCTAACCACACCCACTTTAGGTATGACTAAAGACGTATACGGACTTAGGCGGTGAACTACGTCACTAGCCAGACCCACTTTTGGGCATGGCTAGGCTCATTACGGGGGAAGGTATAAAAGACTGAACAACGGAAGTCTTGGTCTCTTTTTCTGGTTCTCGGCTTCCAGTTCGGCAGCGGAAAACTACACAGCTCATCTGGGTTACTTATTTGGTATCTTGTGCATAATTTCTACAATAAATACTTAGTTTTACTTTCAGTAAGTGTGCCGTTTATCGTTACAGCATCAACCAACAAAGTCAGCTTTACATTTTCTTGCACAAGACCAGCATTCCCATAGAATAGAATGGAGAACCCAGAAATAACTCCACAAGGTATATAACCACAAAGGTATAAAAACCACACATTGGAGAAAAAAACCCAGCTTCTTATGATGTGTTTGAAGAAACTAGACTTCCATGTGTAGAAGGAATGAAACCAGACTGCACTCTGCTTCTTCATGAAAATCATTTAAAATGGACCCAAGACCTTAATGGAGGACTAGAAAGTTTACAGGTAAAATACTTGAAGGTCACGGTGTAGTCAAGAACTTCTGAACAGTTTTCTAATAGCACATGGAATAATCCACAGAACGGCTAAGTGGAAGTCCATGAAACCAAGATGATTCTGCACAGCAAGGGAAACAATCTTCAGAGTGAACAAACAGCCTATAGAATGAGAAAAAAAATCCTTGAAAACTATGTACCAGATATCAATTAATACTAAAGATAAACAAAGAATTGCAAAAAAAAAATAAGCACAAGAAATACTAAATCCTAGTCA